GAGCAGAGCAGCACATACACACGTATGCCTTCAACCCGCACTTCCTCCCCACCCACTACCCCCCATCCCCCCTACTCCGCGACACCTACCAGCCAATCGCGACAAACTGTAGTCCGAATCCATTTGTTTATCTGCAGAGAGGCACCGGTGTATGTGTGTGTGTGTGTTTGTGGGGAGGGGGGGAACGGGATTGCATCTGCCGCTCCCGGGATAACTACGAGGGGTGTGTACGTGTACGTGTGTGTATGTATGTGTGTATGTGTATGTGAAAAGGGGGTGGGGAGATAAAGCGCAAATGGCGCCAAGTTGTGAGTGGCGGGAAAGTACCTCCTCACCCTTCGAGGGGACCCTCTAACCGCCTAACCGCCTAACCGCCTAACCGCCACCCATACACCGCCGCCCCCCGACCCCTCCCTCCCTTCTTCACAAGGTCCCCCGCCTTCCCGTAGGCTGATCTTCAAAGAAGCCACCGTACCGTACCGTACTGTACATGTGTGTGCATGTATGTGTATAAGTCGCCGGATGGCCAAAATCCCACCCCACCCTGCTGACTGAGATCTACTTCCTTCTCGCTCTCCACACATACATATATACATACGCACATATACATACTCAATACATACATACGCACACGTGCACACACAAAGATACGCACGTACGCTTTTCATTATCGCGGGTCAATCCATTACCACATCTACGCACATACATACATACATACATGCGCGCACACGCAAACCATGTCCTGGTGAAGCAGAAAAGCAAAAGGAAAAGACGGAGGCTAGCTATCTTTTCATCCAGAAACGCCCCCACTTACGGAGGTGAGGCAGCATGATCGTGTCCAAACACATCTGGTAGTTGGACGTAGGCGGGCGCGAGAGCCCCGGCTCCCTACGTACGGCATGAAACGTGGTACGGCAGTCAGGATGGCTGAGCTATGCCGTACGGCGTACGGCGTTTCGGCTGCCAGCGGGAAAGCCCCCTTGGCACTGACTTAGGGTACCCGGGGGGAGGCGGGAGGCCGAGGGGCCGGTCAGCAGCTCTCGCCCTTCTCGCATGGTGAGCCTCCGAGCTCACCCCCCCAGTCTCACTAAACCTCTAACCCCCTTTCCCACACCATGTGGCTCACTGACATTGATACAGACGTACATCCCAGCCCGGCCGCACTCCCCCCGACACCACCTTCCGACCTCTCCCCCTTCTCAACCCCTCCCTCTCCTTCCCTCCTCCGATTCGCAACCTCTGGTTCTCGTTGATCCCACACCCCCAAGCTCCCTTCTTCCATTGCCCTTTCCTGCCTCTCTTTTCCCGCCCCCCTCCCGCTTCGCCCCCTCCTATCCTTACTTGAAGTACGAGGGGCCCAGGTCCGCCAGGTCCTCCGCCTTCGCCACCGCGGGGGGCATGGCCTCCCCCAGCTGCATGCCGAGCAACACGGCGGTCTCCAGAGTCCAACACCTGGGGGGTGGGGGCAGGAGGGGGAGGGGGGGGGGAGGGGGGCGG